TTCTAAAAAAAATGTTTTTTTTTTCAGGCAGCAATAAAGAAGGTAGTGAGTAGCAGTTCACTGTCACTGATTGATTTGATGTGGCAAATTCGTCAGATTTTTGAATGTATGCAGACTGTTTTCGTGGATGGTCAGCTTGCTGGTGTACTGCGAACGGTTTCCTCATCTTCATGGATGCCAAGTATGCTAATTTTTATAGGAATATACATAAATTATCTCGAAGCATTGGTGTAGAAATTAAAGTCGCCATTTTCACTCTTTTTTTTACAGTTCTGACGGTATCAGTATTTTAGAAGTGATGGAGAAGATGATGCAGGATGAAGTGTTGTATTTGGCAAAATGTATGAAAGATGAGATTTCAAAAACAAATGATTACTGTAGGCAACTTTCGCTTATTCCATTGGATCAGAATTCGTTTATTACGGATTGCACTTCGTTTCTGGAAAGGTTTTGATGCTTTCAGTTTCATTATGAATGGGGGTTTTTTTTCAAAAGGATTTGATTGGTTAAGCATAGTTTTTGCGGTGTTTGGTCCTATCATGATATTTTATTCTGTAATTATCAAGAAGCATCAGAAAAATAATTAGCCAGAGCACCGACTGCCGATGAGAAGATGCGTTTTTTGCACAGTTTTTCGCAAATTTTTATCGCTAATGACACTGTTTTTTCCGGCCCATACTTCTCGTTAAAGAGTTGAGGCTGGTCACCAGTACTGTCGGAAAACATTACCTTAAAATTCCAGCTTTCTTGCTCTTCAGGTTCCCAACTCAGTAACTTATTAGCAAAAAATTTTCGCAGCCCTCTATGTGAGAACCACGTGGGCAGAAGTGTCCATTTTGGAGATAGAAGTCCATACATGCATGTAGATTAAGCTCTCAAAGTTTTAGCGTGTAGGTTTTGTATGTCTCGAGATGAAGATTTGGTACATACGAACACATAGATACACACACAAACACAGTTACATAAACGCTAGTACAGACAACCTCTCGTCAGTATGCATCTTTGCACTGCATAAATGCGAAAAACGCGTAAAAAACATTGCACTTGTGTCAAAGTTATATTACCTTTTACGTCTCATTAATTTTGATAATCATTTATTACAATATTACTCTGTAACATTGCTCATCTGCATTGTAACACATCGTTGAGTTATTGAACAGTTTTTTTTTTTTGGCATTCTCAGTTCTTCAACGGTTAACAAATTATACTGTTTTATGTTTACAGTATTTGTTCTGCATCCGCCGATGTTGTGAAATTCAAATGCAGTGTTTTGGAAAGCGCGTCATCATTTATTGATTTTATCAAAATTCTCCTGGAAGCTTTTGCTGAGGTAAGCACGCGTATCACTCTTATTGAGCATGAGAGGGCATTGTTCTGTATGAGAAGGCTTCACGTCCTGTAGGTCTTACCTCTTTCAACTGTTTGAAATAATTGGAACAGCTATAATTTATACTATAATCCCCTAACTATGTAGAAGGCGAATTTTTAATTTGCTTTGACCAATACTGTATCACCTCGTGGTTTTTCTGCTGACGAATTTTGAAAAATCCGCGTTTTTTGATAGTTTATTATTCTTTTTGACATCCTTCATTGGTTTTTTTTGTTTAAGAATTGGCCTCTGATTGGTGACAGTATGGAAATATATCGAAAATTTTTCGGGAATATGCTTATCA